GTCTGTGAAAAATGCCCGGATGGAAAGATCAGACTCGAAGACCTGGGGGCCCGCTTGATCGACGGGGGGCGATGGGGGGGCACCCGACATCGACCTGGGAGTGGCGAGCCATCGCCGAGCAGGGCCCCGAGGGCCCAAAGCCGCACGCTCCTGGGCGGGGTGGGCTGCCAGGCCTCGGCGATGCAGGGGCGATTGGGAATCCGGACCACACAGCTGGACCTGGGACAGAAAAGCATCCTTCGAGAGCATGGGGCCCTCCGCCGGCCACACCGAAAAACATTCGAGGGGCGCCCTCCCCCAGGATGCACAAGAGCATCCAACAATTTTTGGTCTGCGGGTCGAGAGCGAGTCTCTTCCGGTTAAGAGCCAGGCGGGCCGCGCAAAGCACGAATTGGGGAGACGGAGCACAGGCGGGCGGGGCATCAGGCGGCCGGAGGGCGCGGGGTGCAGGCGGTGTTGAGGAGCTTGCACAAGAAAGGGAACGCCTAGGACAGGAGCCGGTGGCGAAGTCCCGGAGGGTGAGCGGTGTGGTGTTGCCGTCGACGGCGCATCGAAAACACCATCCTCAAGTGCTGCGTGCGGAAGGACGCGAACAGGTCGACGTCCAGGGGGAAGAAGTCCACCATGACGGCGATGATCAGCGTTGTGCCACCAGATGGTGAGGGGGGGCCCAGGAGATAAGAACATCCAACAAACACGACGAAAATTATGGTACCCTCCCCGGACCGACCCCGATCTCATACCTCGGTCCGACCGTACGGTTGTAAGAATAATCTCTGCAACAAAAGCGAACCAGTTTCCCCCCTCTCCCCCGTGGCCTTGACATCGGCAGGTATTGCGTTTGGGAAATGGGGTCTTTTTACCCGGCCCCGCTTCTTCGGGAACGCTTGCCAACCATGGAGGCCAGGGGCGGGGAAAGGGTGGTCACGCGAAGTGGCTCCCCAACGCTTGTTGCAATATGTTTTCCTTCCACGGTGGCTCGGGCCTATGGCGGCCGTTCGGGACGAGCCGGGCAGCCCCGGACGCCAGGCGCAGCTGCTGGAAAGCACCCCGAGGCTGGGAAACCGCGGAAAACCCACGAACACGACCTCAAACCTTGAACGCGGTCCCAATTCGACGACGTGCTGTTGGCAAAGCGCGACCCCAAGGGTCCCGATCACTTCGTCCTGGATCCATTCTCGATGGTCCCGGGGGCCCGAAGACAGCCCCCAGATGCAGAGACCCAAGACACAGGGACCGACAAAATCTTATCGTCGGACATCTGGGACTGAGCCTGTCCCGCCTCAGCCCAGACCTCCTAAGTCGTGCTCTCGTTGGCAACGCGGGCCCCCGGCGGTCTGGAGCCCTCTCTCTGGACTGGCTTCTGATCCAGGGTCGTTTCTCGATGGCCCTGGGTCCCGCCAGGAGGAGGAGGAGGAGGAGGAGGAGGAGGAGGAGGAGGAGGAGGAGGAGGAGGAGGAGGAGGAGGAGGAGGAGGAGGAGGAGGAGGAGGAGGAGGAGGAGGAGGGGGAGGAGAGGAGGAGGAGGAAAAACGGGCATTTTACTCGCCTTGAGCCACAATAGTATTACGATCTGTGGCTATAAAAACAGCAGCCAGGGCACTCTGCCCTATCCGGCGGTGGCGACGTAGGGTGCCTCTGGAACACCTCTGAAGTCTACTTCGCTCGCCCTTCTTATGAGGGCCCACACTACTGATATTATCACTCTGATTCTGTGCTTCTAAGAAGGGAAGCTCGTCAAGCCATTATGTTCACAAGGTCGTACTCCGTGAACTCGCTCTTGGCCTTGATCTCGCTGACGGTTATCATTTTCTCGATGTCGCTCTTTTTCTTCAGCAATCCTTCGTATCGTATTACTCCAGATATGAGGTAGTCCTGCATCTGAGAGAATATTCCTTGCTTTGTTAAACTGTCCATCGCCATTACTGCCGTCGGCCAGTGACAAAATCTGCGGACTCGTCCTGATAGTCTGTCTTCTCGTAAGCTCAAGGTACTGAGTCTCTGTGTCTTGTCCACTGGTATTCCTTTCGTACCTGTCACAAGTTGAAATAGGTCGTAGCAATCCGTAACGATATCAATTGGCAGGATTGACCTGCCTTCATCCTGCAAATGCATCAAGTTCTGGAGTACATTGCCAGATGCTTTCGCCAACATCGGCCTTGCAATCAACTCAGTGAACCGTGACGCTGTGAACTGTGCTGTCTGAGATCCTCCAACTGCTGCAACCGTCTCTGCATGACTCGTTGAATATGATACTCTCTTTGACTTTCTGCTCTGACCGACCAATGGGTGAGCTGCGCCAAACACGCTGTCGTATGATGTCTTTGATATATCCCATAACGATTATACTCGATCTTCTTGTCTTCCAGGAGAAATAATCTTTGGGCTTCATGTGCGTAGGATGTCGTCTTGGTCGCGTGAGCTGCGTCGTTGGTGCTGACCAATCTGATGGGTCCGGTCATCTTACGATAGTATAGTCCTGCTCGGTCTCGGTTCTTCTTTGCCTTCTCCAGCGCGCTCTTCAAGTGCTTGAAGTCTCCGATCGTTGGGGCTGTCTGCTTCGTCTGCAACTGAGTCGTAGCCGCGCTGAGATCCCATCTGGTCTGAAGAAGATGCTGTAGTTGGCAGCATAGAGATCTATATTGATGATGTTCTGTGGCCGTGCAGAGTGAATTATCATTATTGCTCCTTTCTTTGTCTATTGGTGGTGGCTCAATCGTATCCAGGTAGGCGTCTTGACTCAAGAAATGGTTCCATCCTGAAGCCGATGATACTCGATGCCGAGATGCGTGAAGAGCATGATCTATCTCGTGATCTGTCCAAACTTTTCCTCCAGTAACGCATGTGCCCAATCCAACCATGTCTGCCTGCCTGTTGGGCAGAGATCATCCACATGTACTGTCGTGGCCAGTGTGAGCTTCTACGTCTCGTCATCGTGCCGCGCGAAACAGTTCTCCTCGAGTAGAGCTCGCTTGCCCGCCATGTTGTCCTTGATGTGTAGTGTCAACGCTGCCTGCCGTAACAATGGTGCGTCAATGAGTCCAGGAACTGGTTTGATACATTCAAGAACATGTATATGTAGCTGATCATCTGGAATATTCGCGAACAGCCCCGACAACTGCTTGAGGCGGCGCCAGACATTAGCCGGGGGGGCGATGTAGACCTCGCGCTTCTCGCGTGCATCCAGTCCTAGCTCGCGAGATCGTTCGGGCACTTCGCTGAACTTCAGACCCCGCATGAAGTCCGACGATCTGCCCCAGCTTTCTGTCACAAAGCCTGGCTCGCACTGACTAATGGGTACCGTCATTCGTTGTGATACTCTTGCTGCCGTCGACGAGTGTCTGTCCACTGCCCATTTCTGATTGTCCAAGAAGCCTCGTCCACAAAGTCGGCAGCGCAGGACCCACTTCTCTTTCCGCATCCAACGTCTGGCCCAAATGGCGTCTATGAAGTTGGCATTGTTGCACTCCGTCTTCAGCTTGGGCCTGAAGCAGTCGTGCTTGACATAGTTCTGGGTGTCTTTGTGATCTGCTTCTTTGATCTGTGGCCAGAGACTCTCGAACTCGGATTCCTGAACAAATTGCTCGGCTTGGGACGCGTAGATCTCCACCATTTCGTGCTCCATCAAGTCCAGGTAGAAACATCGCGATGGTCCATGACTTTCCAAGCCCTTGAAGATGCAACAGTAATCTGTCGTCGTCCATGGTGGTACTGCTGCATGGTGATGCGTGGTGTTGTCTGGAGAGCTTGGGTAGAGCTTGTCCGGAAAGTGGCTGATATCATCGAGCTTTACCAAGTCCTCTGTCTGCGTGTTGACTTATCTATCTGCCGAATGGCCAGCATACCACGTGTATAGTGCATCTGCATCTTGAAGAGGTAGTGGAGACTCGTCCTCTGGGTCCTCCATCAACTCACCCAACGCCTCAGTAAGGTCGTGGGTGTCATTCGCACGCATGATGTCCTCCGCGCCATGATCACCTGTTGGACTAGAAACTGCTGGTTCGTCTGGGACAGGTGGAGGTACTTGTTCATGAAGAGAAATGTCTCTCTGCGGAGATGGCTGAGATTATGCTGCTGGTCCGTCTTGAATAGGTAGTAAGACCTGCTCATGCTGTGGAATGACTTCTGAGAGCAGTCGATATAGTTCAACAGTAGGTCGTGCTTGCTTCCGTTGATGTCCGAAGTCAATGATACTATCGTCGAGGTCGGTCTCCTTCCGTGTTCTTGGGTCTTGACGTGTCCGTGTAGTGGTGTTATCCAGCTCAGCTGCGGGGGCGATCTGCATTGATGATGATGCTGCTCCTGATTCGGTCCGTCGAGGTGAGTGTGATCGTGATCGGCTTCCCTGTGGAATGAAACTTGATGGTACTTGTGCTGGTTGATGCGCCTGACGTACTGGTGCTTGTTCTACGCTGCGCTCCAGGGCTTCAACTTCAGCATCAATCTCCATCAGATTACTCATTTCTTTCTCGAAGTTCACGTCGTCCATCACCTCACTAAGATCGTGTTCCAGTCCATCGTCAGACTGTTGCTGAGCTGGTTGTCCTTGGGACGTCAAAGGCTGTGTAGGTTCCTCATCTGCATCGTGATCTTGTATTGTCTTTGCTCGAGTCGCTGATGGTGCTGTGTTAGCCTTCTGCTTCACGATCGTCTGAATCACGCCGCGTAGCTTCTTCAAAATACTGCCTGCATGGGCGTCGCATTCTCCATGGAAGATGGCGTCAAATCCATCGGACCTCTTGTAGGGGATCCTGGAAGATACGTCTCTATTGGAACCGCTGGAGATATCGCCTGATCTTCCGGAGAAGACATTGGAGACTTGGAGTGATCCTCCATCTCGATAGGCATTCGCGGTTGTAGCCAGCTCGGTGGAGAATATGGATCATCGTCAAGAAATGGTATGTCGCTGAGGTCTGGATCGACGTAGGTGCCTGGGCTGTCATCGGCATAACGATGCTTGGATACCAATAGTAGGGAATGGTACTTGTCCCAGTCGGGCGCCTACGAACTTCGCCATGTTGATCGGCTGGGCCGGATCGATATCACTGCTGTAGTAGTCTTCTCGGTGTCGATCGCGCCAGGCCACAAGCACTCCATGAGTGAATTCTCCAAGACCTTTAAGCTGCCGGTGTCCTTGTCCATAGATGATGCCGTCAACGCTAGTCATCCGGAAGATGGTCATGCCCACACTCTGTGCCAACTGCCATGTCGGAGGTGGTTCCTGCAGTAGTTCTGGTGGTGTCGATTGCTCGTTGAAGATGCCCATGCGGTGCACGATGCCTGGAGGGGTCCCTTTTCTGATCTCAAACAACTGCGTGAGCTTCATCGTGCTACCGCTGCCGAGGTGCACCTGATATTTGTCCCAGGAAATGCCTAGAACATGAAAATTCATTCGTCGTGCTCGCATGTGCCTCGTCGGTATCTTGTACGGCTGATTCTGGTGAATCACGATTGCCGCCGCTTTGTCGTTATCTAAGCTGATGAACTCTGCTGGACCTCGCCAACCATCTTGATCTTTCCGAGCTGGTGTTCGCCATATGCCCACTTGGTCGTGTGGTGTGAGTGTCTCGATCCATTTGGAAGCCTGAGCTTGCTGTCGTGTGTTGTTGGCCTTGGCAATCCGCTCTTCGATGATGGCCTGCAGTATATTGGATTTTGCCGAGAGCCTCAATCGTAAGTGCTGCTCGGTCGGGTCCAGCGTGAGATCCGTTGCGCTTTGAGTTGTCGTCAAGGTTCCAGCCTCAGGATCATGCGCGTCCTTAGGCATGTAGCCGAGCAGACCCTGGGCCAGTGCCGAGCCGCCGTAGTTCATGAAAAAAAAAAAGCCACCATCGCTGGTTCCTCCACAATATCTTCATCACTGATACCGGTCAGGCCTTGCTTGATCACGTCACGCTTCGTCTTGAGTGCCGTGGGCTTGAGCGTCTGAATAGCTCTCTCGGCCAGGCCTGTCGTGGCATGTCCGTCTGCTCCACCAAACACCAATTTGAGGTTGTATCTGTCTGCTACCAGCGCCACATTGTCGGTCGTCATGCCGCCTTCCTGATCCATCACCAGGTTGTCCATCGGCCCGAAATACCGAATCCAGTGACTGAGCATCGCACGTAGAATGTATTTCCCTTGCTTTGTTGCCACCAAGCATGCGATGCGGTGCCTGATACATTCATCAATCATTATGAGCCACGTCTTTTCGAACACGAAGAACAGATCTGCCCGGGCTCGTTCGTTGAAACGAACTGCGATGGTCATCTTGATACTCGGCTTGTTCATCGCTCGTTGTCGCTGAAGGCAGGTCTCGCAGTGCTCGGCCATACCTTTGCACAACTCTCGAATAGGTGCTGGTAGTCCAAGAGCTCTAATCATCCGCTCGATCTCGAAGTCTGGTGGGTGGTAGAACTTGTAGTGGAGGCCCACGAGCAATTTAAGGCGTTCCTCGTCCGAGGAAGCCTGTGCCAACTTCTGCGCCAGCTTGCCCAGGTCAAATGATGGCTTGATGATCTCGACGTTTTCCGCCGATGCCGAAGACCGTGAGGCAACCGGTTCAGGAGGTGGTGGTACTGGTTCTGCTGCTGGTGCTGCTGGAGGTACTGGTGCTGCATGATCATCCGGTGCTGCTGCGGCTGCCGCGGCTGCTGATGGAGGAACAGGCTTGAATCTGCAACCATCTTGCCGCGTGTGAGGAACACCTGATCCAGCACCGTGTTGGCAGCGCTTGCATTTCCAGTAGGCCTGCGATCTGCAAGTGTGCATGTGCTTGACCATGTCCTTAACCAGTGAGCGACACAGCCCCACGGGATATACTGCTGCCAGGGCTGTCCGCTTCCGTCCTTGATCGTCTGTGCCCTGCAGCTCCGCGCGCCTCGTCGTGCACTTGCACGCTCGTGATGTAGATCTCAGGCGGATGGTGCTCCGGAGGAACGTCCTCTTACGAATCGGTAGCTTCAGGTCCTCACTCCGCGCTCCATGTGCACACTGGTCGGTAACGTTGTCGTGCATCTCGCGCCCCAGGATGTCCAGAATCAGCTTCAGATCGGTCTGCTTCCAGATGGCTGAGCGCGAGGGGTTCTCCATAATGATCTGACTGCCGCGACGTTCCAATGCTGGTGTGTAGGTCTGCGCAGTCCATGTCAATATCGGGCGTTCGTAATCTCGCCTGTGCTCCAACTCAACAGGCTCCGCATTGTTGTTAGACTGAGACCAAGGTCGGCAGTAGAACTCCATCAATGAGAATAATAGACTAAATGCCTCATGTAGTTCCAGTAGCAGTTGTTGATGATCTGGTCGATGTAGATCCCAATCGCAACGATAATCAATAGGTGGTAGTGCAATTGAGTGGCCACGATAAACTGCACATGAAACTCCAGAGGTACCAGAGAAGACTTCCACCATGAGGATCGTCTTGTGAGCTACTGAATGCATGTGCTGAATGAAGGCTCGCGTGTGTTCGGGTCGAATCACTGGTAGTCGCGATGCGCTGTGCAACTTCTCGTCCATGAAATCATGCCCCCGAGCCATGCGGTGACATTCAGCATGCTCGAAGTTGTTTGGCCATTCGTCCTGTGAATATCTACTGCTGCCGAACTGTCTCCTTGCATCATAAAACTCCGTGGCGTCTGCGTTCTGATGCGATCCGTATGTCTGTCTCGATGGTGTTGATGCTGCCGTCGCCAGTCTGCTACTGCTTATCTCACCCTGATTCTGCGCTTCAGGGCCTTGAGCGTGAGTGGCTGAATGTAGTTGAATCGTAGGTTTCCGCGGACGATTGAAGGCCATGAACAACTTGTCGACGCAGTCCTCGATCAGGTTGATCATCTCGTCGGCGGCCCGCTCAGTTTGAGTCTTGAACACATCTATGGGCAGCAAGTAATGTCCTGAATCTGTCAGTAGTACTCGCGCCACAGTGGATACCCTGTCGTCTGGAACAAACGCCAGGATACCGTCGCTGCTGTGATGCATGCTCTCGAACAGGATGCATTCCTGCTTACTCATCGTACTGTTGGGCAGAAGGCCCGGGCACCGTGCACCAGAGCCGCCAATGAGATCCGCCTGGTAGGTGGTGCCGCTCTGCATGCCTTCAACACATACTGGCCCTCGAAACTCACCACATGAGGGGTCCGCCTGACCGTTGATACCCGTGAAGGTTGCCTGTGAAGCTCGGAGATCACACGGAATACCTTCAGGTTGATCTAAGTTCAAATTCCATTTCAATATCGTCTCCGTACCGAGTAGGCCTTCAGCGGCTCCTGGGTCAACGATCAGTCCATGTCGAGGCTTGCCTCTCACTGTGTGCAAGATCGCGTAGGGGTCGTCACTGCTGCTCTTACCTTCCAGGAATGAGATGTGCGGCTGATCATCTGCTGTCACCATGTGCTGACAACCAAGGAGTTGCAGTGACTTAGTTCCCTCTGTAGGCATTGTCTGCTGACTAGATGATTGAGCTGATTCATCTTTCAAGTCATCTTCCTCTGCGATGTTCAGCTGGTTCTTCATGACTACTAGAGCGTACTGCTTAGATAACTTCTGAGCCAGTGTCATCGGAGCTGATGTACTTGATGATGATGATGTCGTCGAGCTCCTCAGGACTGACCTTAAAGGTGTGCGATTCACTCGATCATCGGGAACAGGTGATGCTGAGCCCAGAATGGGTGGTCGCACTGGCCGATCCTGTCTGCTCGGACTGGTTGCATTGTCATCAGGTTGGGTATGCCAGTCATTGACATCTCCGTGCCCTTCGGCATTCAGCTCAAACGTGTCGCCTGCAGGTGCTGGGTCCTGAGCAACAGTTGGCAATGTATCATGATCTGGAAGGTGATGCCGTTCAACAGGAATCGTGCTGGTCGTTGAGCTGACTGGTGTCTGCACCGTGATCCATGAACCTGGGGGTCGAATTACCATTTGCGGTGCTGTCGAGCCTGATCCTGCTGATGATGCTGTTGCTGACGGATCCGCTGTGGGGAGGCCGACGACGTTCGCGTAGTGCCTGCTAAGTCCACCTTTGCCTTTACCTTTCGATGGTGCCGATGACTGTTGTTGATGTGGTTGTGATTGCTGCTGTCGATCCTTTGCCGGGCAATGTGTTCGATCGTGCCATTTGCTTCCACAAATATCGCATCCATCGTGTCGTTGTCCTGTGTTGCCCGCGCGCTCGTTGTTGCTACCACTGTTGCCTTTTCCTTTGCCGCGTCCTTTGCCTCTGGGAGGAAATCGTCGTCGAAATCCGCCTCGTCCGTGTCCTTTACCTTTGCTTCTACCACGCTTTCCTTTACCACGACCCTTGCCGCCGAAGTAGGTGTCGTGGTCATCCTGGTCTGCCTCGTAGTACTCCGTCATGTCGCCGTTCTCGTCATACCTAGCCCAGATGTCGTCGTATTCCTGGAAATACCATTCTCCATCTTGTTTAGCTGTCCAACCGTAGTCCTGGTCATAGCTCCACTCGCACTGCTCGTCGTTGTAAGCTTTACACCAAGATTCGTCCATTCCTTCTGGGTCAGCGCCGTCTCCTGATTCACCATGCCAGGCCCAGTCGGTGTGCTGTCCGATCTGGCCCTGCTTGCCTAGACGCAGCATGAGACCCTGCAGTGCTCGATGCTGTGAAATATCGCCTGCCACGTGTAATTTCAAATCATCCGGTCTTTTGTCCGATAACCCACTGTTCTTCAGCAAGAAGTGACTGCGGCCCGTGTCGTTCATGACCAGGCCGCCTTCTTCGCACGCGTCCTCGAACGCGAGCTCAAATGGTGAGATCCACGTTGGCAGGTCTTGGTGATGTCCTCGTCGGCATTCGAAGAACGAATATAATACTATTCCAACTCTATCTTGATCATGCAATTCGTAGATCGCCTTCTGCTGGTTGGTAAAGTGCTTGCTACCCGGCTGATCTTCTGGCTGATCTGGTGGATTGGCCGCCTGAGCTGGAAGTGCTATGGCTTCATCTCCTCGATGCTGTATACCATCTCTGACATGTGTGAACGACATCGCTGCGGTGAAGGGTGCTCCCTGAAGTCGTGAGACTATGAGCGGTCCAATCCTTCCGTATTGATTCTCCTCAGTGATTCTCCACCACACCTTCAGCTTCTGCATAAATCTCCGGAACGTGTAGCCTTTGATGTGAGGGCGCCATCCAGGTGGCACGAACTTCGTGAAGAAAGAAGTAGAAGACAGTGCCGTGAATCAGGCGTGATCGCCTGCTGGTGCTCGTTGCGCCTGGAGTACTTGTCCTAATGCTCGTAGGTTTTCGTGAAGGTCGACGGGAGGCCGTCGCACTCGTGAGCGATGTAGTTGTTCTCGATGCTGCCTGCGGAGGCGCGGGCATGCGCGGCGCTGGCCGCGCGGAGGGCCGGCCGACCGAAGGAGGTTGGCCCGCGGAGCTTCTGCTCCGTTACCAAAGCGGGCATTTTACTCGCCTTGAGCCACAATAGTATTACGATCTGTGGCTATAAAAACAGCAGCCAGGGCACTCTGCCCTATCCGGCGGTGGCGACGTAGGGTGCCTCTGGAACACCTCTGAAGTCTACTTAGCTCGCCCTTCTTATCAGGGCCCACACTACTGATATTCTCACTGGAGGAGGAGGAGGAGGAGCAGGAGGAGGAGGAGGAGGAGAAGGAGGAGGAGGAGGAAAAGGAGGAGGAGGAGGAGGAGGAGGAGGAGGAAAAGGAGGAGGAGGAGGAGGAGGAGGAACCAAGACCGTCGTGATTTCTTGGCGACAAAGGGAGGTGTGGCTCTCGGGCCACAGCTCTAGTCTCTGGCGGCCGTTCGGGGCGATCTGGGGGTCACCCCGCGGCGAGGCGCAGCTGCTGGAGAGCATCTCGGGGCTGGAAAAGCTCGAAGAACCGCCCGCCGCGGTTTTCCACGACGAGGGGAGGCGGGGTCTTATCGGCGGTACCCCGCAGTGAGCTCAAGATCTGTCCCTGGGCACCTCCCCGGGTGCACCCTGGTCAGTTTTCTGAGCCGCGTCCAGCCGTGGCCGCGACAGCCTTCAGAAACGTGCGAAAGCCATTGGAACGGGGGGCCGAAAAAAGGCCAAACACCTCAGGACCCGTTTCCCTCAAGACCTACTCTGACTTCGGATTCGCCGTATTTGGGGAGATTTCGTAGGTGGGGCGAACATGTTAGCTTTACTTTCAAGCTCCTTTGATGCCGATTTCCGCCCTATGGACTCCTTTCACGTCGATTCGGGTGGCCGCCGGGACGCTCCAATCAGGGCAACGCTAGGTCTTGACGGAAGCGGGTCCATCCCTGACTTCGGCTCCGCCGTACTTTCGCGGATGCTCCGCCTTGACAGTGTGTAAGAGGTGCACCCCAAACGATGCGAAAAGGCAGGGCGGAACATCCCAAAGCCTTGGTGAGGGAGGTGTCAGATGGGCGCTTTTAGTCGGCTAGGCGGCTAGACGCTGATACGATAGGGGGTGCGGGGCCGGGACTGCCAGAACAGGCGGATCAGAAACTGACTGGGCTATGGCTCAGGCAGTGGCCCGAGTGGGGGCGCTCAGCCAGGGGGCCAAGGCAGGGGCGATCCGACTTCCCGATTCGATCCGGCTTTCATGGCCTGAGCGGGCTCCTCCCTCTTCCCTCCTCGCTCTCGGTCGCCGGCCAGGCGGGAGCGTTTGCTGCTGCCGCCGCTGCCGCCGCCTCCTTTTTTCCTGGATTCTCCGAGATGTTATCGGGCACGCACATTGCGAAGCCGCGCGTGGCATCATCAGCCTCGCTCTCGTTTCCCCTTCGCCCTCGTGCCTCAGCTCGCTCCTGGTGCACTCCCCCGCTTGCTCGACTGGCGCCTGGCTGTCTTTGTGACCACTTGGCGCCCGCGGACTAAAAAAAAGTGTTTGGGCCACGGTGCGGGGCAACGATAGGGGGGGGACTGGCATTGCGGGGAAACCAGCCTCCCTCCTCCTCCTCCGCCTCCTCCCCATCCCCCTTCCCTCTCCTCCTCCTCCTCCTCCTCCTCCTCCTCCTCCTCCTCCTCCTCCTCCTCATCCTCCTCCTCCTCTTTCCTCCTCCTCTTTCCTCCTCCTCCTCCTCCTCCTCCTCCTCCTCCCTCTCCTCCTCCTCCTCCTCCTCCTCCTTCTCCTCCTTCTCCTCCTCTTCTCCTCCTCCAGGACGCGTGTTGGCCCAATGTGTGGTGGCCTCGCTCGGCTCCGCCGCTAACCCGTGCCCCGCTTCGGCCTGGAATCGGCGATACATCGCCCTACGCCTATCCCTCCTTATCGCTGCTCCTTGCCGTCGCTCGAACGTCCATTCCCCGTGCATCTTTCAGCTTCGTGTTTGTTATGTCATTATTATTATTATTATTATTATTTGTTGTTATTGTTTTATATTATTCTTATTAGTATTCTTCTTCTTCTTCTTCTTATTATTATTGGTATCATTATTATTATTAGTATTATTATTATTATTACTATTATTACTATTAGTATTCTTATTAATAGTATTATCATTATTATTATTATTTCTTGCAAGATGCTCCAGGATGCTCCTCGATGGTCCTCGCCGGCGAGCGAGGGGGGAAGTGAGAAGGAGAAGGCCTTCTCAGAAGGCGGCGGGGCGTCTCAGAGGCCCTCGCGCCTTGAGGAGCTCTCTGCGACTTCGGGGAAGGCTCAGGAAACCTCTCAGAAGGCCAGGATACTTCCGAGACTTCTGACAAGGCCCGCCCCTTCTCAGTTTCCCACTCGCTCGCCGCCGATCAGACGCCTACAGTCTGAGTCCGAGACCCCCGACGTCCTCGCTTTTTCATGACGAGAGCCCCCAGAGGCCTCGATCCATTCCCCACACTCTATCCAGACACTTTTTCCTGACAGTAGCTCGATCAAGTAAAAAAACAACGATTTGTCGTAACGGCAAATCTGTCGTAACGGCGGTGCCGCCGCGCAGAACTACTGCGCGAATCCACGAGAGCGATGGCCACTCCAAGAAATCAAATCTTTTGAAATGATGTTTGTAACTATTTGTTCTGGTATTCGCTCTCGTGGACAGCCTAGGGGCCTGTGAGCGCTCGGCTAAAGAATTCAAGCCCAAAGACTGCTTACGCATGCAACTGTTACCGGTTTTTCATCCCGAGTCGTTTCTTGCCGATCCCGAGGGCCAGCACGGGCCTCTGCAGGCCGAGCACGTGGAAACGCCTCCCGTCGCGACATCCCTCCAGGCTCGCCGCCGCTCGGGCGTTGGCAGAACTGGGTTCAGTGGGATCTGGTTTAGCGATGCGTACTTGGGGGACGCCCCCCCCACGCCGTTCTGCTAACTGGAGCTGCCGTCCCCCGAAAAAAAAACACCAGCTGCGGCAGACCTGCTTTATAGCGATCCTGGCCAAGTCAAGGGCGCTGGGGCCCTACCACTAGCCGGGTCCCCTTACCTGGGGTCCTGGCTATACCCGAGCCGAGAGAAAGAAAGCACACATCCGAGCGATGCGAAGGCCCCCGGCCGAGGAGGAGGAGGAGGAGGAGGAGGAGGCAAGGAGGAGGAAAGGAGGAGGAAAGGAGGAGGAGGAGGAGGAGGAGGAGGAGGAGGAGGAGGAGGAGGAGGAGGAGGCAAGCTAGGTGCGCTCGCGTCATATCTGACGTCCTACCCCTCCCTCCCATCCCTTACCATGGCGCTGATTTTCTCTATCCGCGGACGCGTGTCGTAGCGGACCTGTGGCTCCGCGCGCGCGTGCGTAGTGGGTGGTGGTGCGCGTGCGTGCGTGCGTGCGTGTGTGCGTGGTTGTGGTGGTGGTGGTGGTGGTGGTGGTGGTGGTGGTGGTGCTGGTGGTGGTGCTGGTGCTGTGTGGTGGTGGTGGTGGTGGTGGTGAAGGTGGTGGTTGGTGGTGGTGGTGGTGGTGGTGGTGGTGCGGCGCGGTGGTGGCGGGCGGATGGGCGCGCGAGAAAGAGGCCCGCGCTGGGGCGAGAACGCCATCCTGAACGACGGAGGCCAAACACCGATCCGAAAATGAGGCCCACGCTGCAGCGGGAGCACGAGTCGGAACGATTCGGGAGCAAAAATGAGGCCGGCGCCTCAGCGAGAGCAGCATTTTGAAAAAAACGCAGGCGAAAACCCGTTTCCCGGGAATCCTGTGTAACAAAAACAGTACGCGGAGGGTGTTCGGCGATCACCCAACCGCCATCAGGGGAAGAGGGAGAGTATTTTCATATTGAGTAATTGTAAAGGAGGAGGAAAGGAGGAGGAAAGGAGGGAGGAGGAGGAGGAGGAGGAGGAGGAGGAGGAAGGAGGAGGAGGAGGAGGAGGAGGGAGGAGGAGGCGGAGGAGGAGGAGGAGGAGGAGGAGGAGGAGGAGGCACACGTTCGAGCGATGCCAAGGCCCCCCGACGACGGGACGCCTCGCGCTGGTCGCGGCGCGCGGCCGCGCCGCGGGCGCCGCGCCCGGGCGCCGCTGCGAGGGCGCGCGGCGGGCCGAGGGCCTCCGCGCACGGCGCAGGCCTCGGGCGGGCGGGCGGCCGACGCCGCCGACGCCGAGGACGACGGCGACGCCGACGGCGGCGGCGGCGACGGCGACGACGACCACGACGGCGACGGCGACGACGACGGCGACGGCGGCGACGGCGGCGACGACGGCGAGGACGACGACGCCGACGACGTCGACGGGCCGCCCGCGGCGGCCTCTGCGGTGGCGGCGGCGGCAGGTGCTGGCGGCGGCGGCGGCGGCGACGCCCGCGCGGGGCCCCTGCGCACGGATCGGGCCTCGGCGGCGGCGGCGGCGGCGCGAGGCCCCTGCAGCACGGATCGGGCGCTCGACAGCTTCCCTGGGGTCAGCTGCCCATGCCGAGCCGTTTTGTTGACGGTGCTCAATGGGGGGGCGCGGGGGGGAAGAATCTGGTGCCCTTTCTGGGCCCTCTGGGCCACCCTCAGGGGCCCTACAGGGCCCCCTTTGGCCCAGAGGGCCCAAGGCTTTGGGGGCCCTGTAGGGCCCCTTGTCTGCAGCCCTCACTGCTCCCCCAGAAAGCGCCTCCCCCCCCCCCCCCCACAACCACAACACGCGCCCCCCAGGAGCTGTTTTGTTGACGGTGCCGAGGGTTCGGCGAGGGCCTCTGAGGTCGAGCTTGGCAACACCAGAGCTCGCCATCGCTCGGACGTCCACTGCGCGTGCGTTTTCCGGCTTCGTGCGTACACTTTGATCCGAAAAGCTCCTCGATGGTTCTCGCCGAGAAAAAATGAACACGTCCGAGCGATGCCAAGAGTTGAGCAGGGAGCGACCGTCCTGGCAATCCTATAGGCCTACCACGACATGTTCTGAGAACCCAGCAACGTTCGAATAACGAAAACAAGGTTCTTAGAAAATAAGGCCAATGTGTTAAAACAAAATAGTCTCGGCCAGAAATGTTCTACGAACGTGTTCGTGCAGACCACAAGAGGTTCTTGGAACATTCCCATGTGGGCCTATGGGCAAGCCAGGACGTTGCACGTGCACCCCCAGGCCCTCGATGTCCGCCTTCGCCGGCGGCGGGCGGGCGGCGGCTGCGGCGGCCACGGCGAGGGCTCCCCGTTCGGGGTCGATGTTTTCGGGACGAAGACGACGGGGACGACGACGAAGACGACGAAGACGACGACGCCGCCGACGACGACGCCGCCGACGACAACGACGAGCGCCGGATGAGCGAGGAGCGCCAGCGGAACGTTGCCATCGCTCGGACGTCCATTCCCCGTACACTCATAACTTGTCTTAAGAAATTATTTGTTAAGAAATGGAGACCCAGCTTTGGTGAATTTCTTAACCCCGGTGCGAGACCCAGCTTTCGCCGCCGAATTTCTTAACGAATCGGCTGAAGGGTTGTGCTGAGGGGTTGTGCTGAGGGGCTGTGCTGAGGGATTGTGCTGCGGGGTTGCGCTGAGGGGTTGTGCTGAGGGGTTGTGCTGCGGGGTTGTGCTGAGGGGTTGTGCTGGGGGGTTGTGCTGAGGGGTTGTGCTGGAGGGTAGTGCTGACGGGTTGTGCTGAGGGGTTGTGCTGAGGGGTTGTGCTGAGTGGTTGTGCTGTGGTGTTGTGCTGGGAGGTTGTGCTGGGTGGCCTGCTGGAGGTTGGTTCTGGGGGGGATGAGCTGAGGGGTTGTGCTGAGGGGTTGTGCTGGGGGGTTGTGCTGAGTGGTTTTGCTGAGAGGTTGTGCTGAGGTGTTGTGCTGGGGGTGTGTGCTGAGGGGTTGTGCTGAGGGGTTGTGATGAGGGGTTGTGCTGAGGGGTTGTGCTGGGGGGTTGTGCTGAGGGGTTTGTGCTAGGTTGTGCTGAGTGTTGTGCGAAGGGTAAGTTGTCTGGGTGGTTTGTGCTGAGGGTTTTGTGCTGGGCGGTGTGCTGAGGGGTTTTGTTGCTTGTGGTTGTGATGGGGAATTGTGCTGAAGGGTTTGCTGGGGGTGTATAGGGGTGAGCTGAAAGGGATGTGCTGGAGGGTAGTGCTGAACGGGTTGAGCGCTGAGGGGTTGGTGCTGAGGGGTTGGTGCGGGGGGTTGTGCTGAGGGTTGTGCCTGAGGGATTTGCTGGGGTTGTGCTGGGAGGTTATGCTGAGGGGTTGGCTGAGTGGTATGTGCAGGGGGGCACGCACAACCTCCAGCACAACCTCCAGCACAACCTCCAGCACAACCCCCCAGCACAACCCCCCAGCGCAACTTCCCAGCGCAACCCCCCAGCACAACCCCCCAGCGAGACTTCCAGCACGACCTCCCGCACAACCTCCAGCACGACCTCCAGCACAACCTCCAGCACAACCCTGCACAACCTCCAAACACACCCTCCAGCCACAACTCCAACCAACAACCTCCAGCACAACCCCTCCTGCACAAACCTCCAGCACAACCTCCAGCACCACCTCCAGCACAACCTTCAGCACAACCTCCAGCACAACCTCCAGCACAACCTCCAGCACAACCTCCAGCACAACCGCCAGCACAACCTCCAGCCCAACCACCAGCACAATCTCCAGCACGACCTCCAGCACAACCTTCAGCACAACCTCCAGCACAACCTCCTGCACAACCTCCAACACAACCTCCAGCACAACCTCCAGCACAACCTCCAGCACAACCGCCAGCACAACCTCCAGCACAACCTCCAGCGCAACCTACAACACAACCTCCAGCACAACCTCCAGCACAACCCCAGAGCACAATCTCCAGCACAACCTCCAGCACAACCTCCTGCACAACCTCCAGCACAACCTCCTGCACAACCTCCAGCACAACCTCCAGCACAACCTCCAGCACAACCTCCAGCACAACCGCCAGCACAACCTCCAGCACAACCTCCAGCACAACCTACAACACAACCTCCAGCACAACCTCCAGCACACACTCCAGCACAACCTCCAGCACAACCTCCAGCACAACCTCCAGAAAGACCAAAATACCCACACAACCTCCAGAAACCAATAAAAAACAAAAAACCAAGAACCAAAAAAAACAAGAAAAAACAAAAAAAAAAACAGAAACAAGCCCCCACACCTCCAGCACGACCTCCAGCAACAACCCCCCACGCATCCTCCACACACCTACCAGCACAACCTGCAGACCCCAACCACCAGCAACAACCTCCAGCACAACCTCCAACACACCTCAAGCACAACCCTCCAGCACGACCTCCAGCCACAACTCCCCGGCACAACCCCTCAGCACAACCTCCATCACAATCCCCCAGCACAACCCCCCAGCACAACCCCCCAGCACAACCCTTCAGCACAACCCCTCAGCACAGCCCCCAGCACAACCCACCCAGCACAACCCCTCAGCACAACTCCCCAGCACAACCCCCCAGCACAGCCCCCCCAGCACAACCACCCAGCAGAACCCCCCAGCACAACCCCTCAGCAGAACCCACCAGCACAACCCCCCAGCACAACCCCCCCAGCACAACCCCTTGTGCTGGGGGGTTGTGCTCTGGGGTTGTGCTGGGAGGTTGTGTTGAGGTGTTGTGCTGGGGGTTTGTGCTGAGGGGTTGTGCTGTGGGGTTGTGCTGAGGGATTGTGCTGAGGGGTTCTGCTGAGAGGTTGTGCTCGCGGGTTGTGTTGAGGTGTTGTGCTGGGGGTTTGTGCTGAGGGGTTGTGCTGAGGGATTGTGCTGCGGGGTGGTGTTGGGGGGTTGTGCTGGGGGGTTGTGCCTGAGGGACTTGTGCTGAGGGGTTGTGCTTAGAGATGGTGTCCCTGGAGGGAGTTTTGGGGAATTGTGCTGAGGGTATTGTGCTGAGGGGTTGTGCTGAGGGATTGCGCTGAGGGGTTAGTGCTGGAGGTTATGTGCTGGAGGTTAGTAGGCTGAGGGGTTGTGCTGAGGGGTTGTCTGGGGGCTTGTGATGAGGGCTTGTGCGGGGGGGTCGTGGCTTGGGGTTGTGGCTGTGGGGTTGTGCCAAGGGGTCGCGGTGAGGGTTTTTGCTGAGGGGTTTGGATGCAGGAGTTGTGAGCTGAGGGTTTTGATGCTGAGGGCCTGTGCTTAGGAGTGCTGGGGGTGGGGGTGAGGGGGAGGGGTGGGGGGGGGGGGGGGGGGGGGGGGGGGGGGTGCTGAGGGATTGCTAGGGGTTGTGATGAGGGGTTGTGCTGGGGGGTTGTGCTGAGGGGTTGTGCTGGGGAGTTGTGCTGATGAGGGGTTGTGCCGGGGGGTTGTGCTGAGGGGTTGTGCTGGAGGTTGTGCTGGAGGTTGTGCTGAGGGGTTGTGCTGGAGGTTGTGCCGAGAGATGGTGCAGAGGGGTTCTCTTGGGGGTTGAGCTGAGGGTTGTGCCGAGGTGTTGTGCTGCGGGGTGGTGCCGTGGGGGTAGTGCTGAGGGGTTGTGCTGAGGGCTTGTGCTGGAGGGTTGTGCTGGAGTGGTCGTGCTCGAGGATCGTGCCGAGGGGTTTTGCTGGAGGTTGTGCTCAGAGATAATGATGAGGATTGTGCTGCAACGTTGTTGCGCGGGTTGAGCTAGGGGGTCGTGCTGAGGGGTTGTGCTGGAGGGTCGTGCTGAGGGGTCGTGCTGAAGGGCGCGCGGGGCGCCAGCAACCTAGATAATACAGCGCGGGAGGCCCACCCGCTGGATACACATGCGAGGGCCTGGCGTGCCCAGCCGCGCAAGGTACGAGGGCCGAGCGCTGGATGGAATTGCGGCCACGTGCGCGTGCAGCTCTCGCCGAGGCCAGCCCAATACACACGGCGACGGCGACGGCGACGGCGCCGAGAGCCTGAGCGTGCTAACTTGCGGCTGCGCGTGACCCTGCCTGGTTTCTGGCGCCGTCGCACGAAGCGGAGCTCCAGCGCACCCCCCCCCTAAACGACTGGGTGCCCACACGGCGCCCGCGTCGAAAGCGCAACGCGGTCGCCCCGCCGAACCAGTATCTTTGCCCGGCCCCAGCGTACCGGACCGCGACAGGCACCCTCCGCCGAGGCCCCTGGAAACGTGTGGCTCAGGATGGAAACGT